AAAATCGGGATAGTGGTTGGTGAGTTATCAACTTTATACGCCAGCGCATCTGAGCGAGTAGAGAGTGCGAGCGATCTGATCATAAATGTGATGTTTATGCATTGTATCAAGCAAACCAGACAATGTGTCTAGACAATATGTCTGCAGTGTACTTGTCTGTGCATATCTGTGAATCTGTTTTCATGTTTTTATATAATAATTACATTACATATTAATAATTTTCAAATGCTATTATTGCATATTTCAAGATTTTGGATACCAACATTGTTGAAATTACTATCCAAAAAATGGGATACCAGATTTTTTGGGAGGGATACCAGATTTCAATACCTGGTATTCCCAATGGATACCATAATAAAAATCTAATTTTGACCCCTGACCATCCATGAAGTTCTCCACGGGAACACAAACACAATGTCGACTCTAATCATCCATCAATATCCACCATTACAATCATGAACTACATTACGAAGAATTGATTACGACAACTAAGAACAAGAAACAACCGGTAAGAATTCTACAGAAACTAACAGTGTTTTGCACAAAGTTAACTTCAAAAGCACTACATAGGCTCATTGTGGCTAGAGCAAACCACCGATGACTGGCAGAGTTACGCGACTGCCTGATAATTTCTCTAGCAGAAGCCAGGTAATCACTGATACATCTACAGCAGAGGGAGGTCCGAGACAGAAGAGAAACTGCTCTAGTCAAGGACAGCACGATCAAGTGACCTTCATCCTAACTCACTGTACAAGCAATTATTTGGAACATTAACCATTAACCCAAGTTGCTCAGAATTCTGAATAGTTCCCCATGAAGCCCACAGAATATTAAACGTTTCGATGCGAAAATTAGGGAGCTTAAAAAGTTCTATATGCAAACTGCACAACATACAAGTATTTCACACAAAAACCGCAAATCACCCGTTTCACATAAATCTGTAAAACATTAAACTGTTGGGTAATATGAGCAGTAGAATCATTTAGTTGTTACATTATGAAACATGAAACACATTCAATGGTTCCAAACAAATATAAAACGAACACCAGATGACACTCACCTCCCTCCAAGGCATTCCCGAGTACCCCATTCTCCATGCGTGCCAGATCCAACAATGCACATCCATAGTTGAAGTACGCACTAGCACATTCCTGCGCAGTTTCACCGTACTTGCCAGCGCTGCAATGAAATAGAAGCCGATAAAGGGAAATTTACACGATTCTGCAAGGATATTAATTTAACATGATCAGTAACAGTTAATAACTACATTATAGGTATCAGAAAACCTTATTGTAATAGTAGTTTCACACATGCACACGACCATACAAGCCCGAGAAAAAAATATAATTTATTTTTCGGGGTCTACTTTTCAAGCTCGCGCGCATGAAAATAGCACTCTAAAATTTGGTTTGCATTGAACTCTATGCAAATTTACGGAGGCTCTTTTTGGCATTTCGGGGCTAAATCGCCCCGAGCCCCCGTGTATTTTTTCCACTGATACTTACAGTAGTTTACAAGCTTCCTGTAGCTTCTCCACTGCCAAATTTGCTTCCCCAACCACCAGATGTCTCTTTCCTTCAGAAATCAAACCCGTTGCCTTTTCATCAACATCAATAACTTCACACGTTTTTTCCGTTTCCTCACTAAAAATTAAATGCAAATACAAATGATTACATTATTTAAAGCTAATCATTTATTTCTCTTTGACACAATTAACATTGAATTAATTTAGAATTTTTGTGTACCTAAATAGTTACCAACCATATCTATTAAAAATATTATTACATTAACACTAATGCTAATGTTTTGTGAGCAACTAAACTATTATTACAGTAACTAACTTAGTGCACGATGAATCAAGTGTATTATAATGGTTTTAAAGAAAATACAGTCCAGACTAACTGAGGTTCTTACAGTTGAATGGATAATGCTACAAAGGTTGTACAAGACAACTGATCCTGTCTACACGGCACAAGCCATCGTGTCGCATTCAGGTGGGACTTATAAAAAAGGAAAGCTCACACAAACGGCGCAATGTTCAACTGACAGGATAATGGTGGGCTGCTGGTAGTGCTCTATGCTAGGCAGTGTCTTACAATAGTACAATGGTAAGCAGAACTGCGGTTGGCTGCTGTGAGTGCATTATTGTGTGGTAAGCCCTGTGGTAGGCACTGTGTTACAATAGTACCATGCAACACTTGACCTACTTCTATACATGGACGCAGACAACATACATGCTACACTAAAATTTGTAAAAAAAATCTATGCCACTTAATTTCACTTTACTGAATTTAATTATTATAGCACAAATTAATGCAGCTCATAACTCATACCCTGAGCAGAAGCTGACAGTAATAACAGGATCATGAAATCACATAGAGCTAGCATACAAATGAAATTGCAAGGAAAATTGTTTTAGTATGATGCTGTAATAACGAAACAAAAATCCAGACAAGAGTATTGGCACTATACGCAGGCTAATAAAAATAGCTGTGGCTATATGCCCGGCAGCCGGGCACGGTCTTCGATTACCTAAATGCCTGGCAGTTCCTAACCTAGACCGAATAATTCTGTCCCATATAACCTTTTTTATATTTTGGTGAGGGTTATTGGGACAGAACGGGGTGCATTGAAATTTCGTGAGATCGCATGCAAAATGCATGCGCTGCTAATGCGGCCCGTACGCCGCTATTGGCACGGAAAAAAACCTACCGTTCCCTTCTACATGGCTTTACCAATTGCTACTGATATGTGTATACATTCACTTCAATCGTTATTCACTTCTTAAAATATTGTTTTTCAGAAACCCTGCTTCATTTCACTTTAGTAAATTACATTCGCCATTTACAAACAATCAGACCCAGGGTAGGTTCTCCCTACGTTGTGAAAACTCCCCCCCCCCCTGTTTCAATCGTTGCGCCCCGTTTAAATTACCTCCGCCACGATTAAATTCCACCCTAATAAAAGTTTGACAGCGCGGGAATCGATCGTCAAGAATTCCCATTCGACCAGGAACACCGACGCGTGTATTTTTACCGTACCACGCATGCACTGCAGACCATACACAAGTACAAACAGTTAACCTGTCCCGAACCCAACACTAACTCTACACCGACTCGGCTATCTTATATATACAAGAACCCCAAATACCGTCTATGGTGTGGTGGCGATTTTACGCATTAATTAGTGGTACGGTAAAAAAAACACCCCCCTAGTTCCCCCCTTTCCCTCCCCTCCCCCATGTTTCAATTTCATCCTGGGGAGAACCCTGGGACCAATCAGAGCGAGTCTATCAGCCCTCCTGCAGCGCCAGAGGCTAGAAACGAGAACCAGGCTATTGTACGACTCGCTCTGATTGTTTGTAATCCTAACCCTTGTTTACTTGAGATAACGCTTGAAAATTAACAATGCGATTAGCGACAGCCGCTCATCTAACGTCTACTGCCGCGTGACTCTTGTGGTGGAGTGGTTGGGAATTTAGTTAAACCCTGTTAGTCCCAAATGTGTTCACATACCGCCGAAACAGGGAATGCACAGTGGATGGTATCAGGAACCTTCTCAAAAGAATGTTTCGTTGATCGTTCATGAAAGTATTGCCGAGAGGCTGGTTACGTTTAATGTCTTCAGATTAAAGATGGAAGCTCCATCATACGTAGTAGCAACAACTGCGTCTGCAGACAGATAGGTAAGCACTCATCCATTTACCTACGCAAGCCTACGGCTGCCACAATAGAGAGCTGCCACCTGTTAACAATTGAAGGCAAAAACTCCACAGTACCACAACACATGCACTGCGCAGTAGCCACTGGCAGTGGGCTACGTTACATGCTTACATACTGACACTACAGATGCCATATAAATTATACGATTTAAAGGACATAACCTTTCTTTAACCAAATTAGCCTTTGAACATTTCATGTGACATTGTAGCCTCATTACATCAGGATGTATAGATTCTATAGCAAACCGGCAGTCAAATCTTTCTTAACAGACAGTAACAAATCCACTCGCTTCTAACCTCCTCTTTGAGGGTCAAAAGGTTAATTGACACTTACTCTTCGCAATGTCAGCAGAAAGTAGATTTCATGGTCCTTTCTAATAATGCATAAAAATGCTAGGTCACGCTGAAACAAAACGTTTTCAATCGCCTCCGTTCAGACATGTCCTCAGAAATGTTCTTAAAATCTGCCCTTTGCCCATTGACTTTTCCTGTGACCTCCAATTCGGCACAGTGATGGCTTTTTCCTACATGATGCTATCACGACTATCACGAGCCTAGTCGAGCCATTTAGATTGTGTTGCCGCAATTCTGCATTTCCTCCCTATACCTTAAGTTAAGGATGTGAATGTTCCCCCTTGTTTTACACCTCTTGACCTTTGACCTTTGACCGCCCAACTCGTTTTGACGATTCCCCCCCAATGTGCCGAATATCGTGACCGTACGTCGAGCGGTTAAGATTTGTGCCCAACTGTTGACGGACGGACGACCGGACGGACGGACGGACGATCAAGCGATTCTACAAGCTGCATCTGACTATGTCAGATGAGCTAAAAACTGCCGGGCATTTAGGAAATCGAAGACCGTGCCCGGCAGCCGTCAGATATATGCCGGCTGCCGGGCATATATGATATAGCCACTCTGTATAAAAATTAAAATGAACACTATATATTCATACTGACACTGTAATCTGTATATAATTATATCACACAGCACCAGCTAACTGTAATTCAATACCTGTGACAGTGCTGTAAAACCTGACGTCTATTATTTGTACCAAATTCTAATCCACAAACTGTCATAGTACTCATAATAATATTAATAATCATAATATCATATATTCACGCATAAATCTTTGCATAACATATATGCAATTACAAAAGAGACATGCAAATTTTAATCGATTATATACCGACATAAATCATTATATGCGCAACGTACACACTATGTCTATAGTAGTTCTTATACAAGGAAAGAGGGGACGACAGACAGGCACAGTGTCAGTACAAAGGACATGTCTATGGACTTTTTAGAACGCACTGTAGGCTGCACTGTCTGCGATGCAACGCAGCAATGACATGGTTTCAGAACTGCCTAATTTCAACGTTTCACTTTCACGGTTTCTCCCACAAAAAACGGACACTTACTCAAATCCTTGACATAAATTTATCTTACCATATCTTCTTTTCATCGACCTGTGCACTTGTTGTAGGCTCAGTCATCTTGGTTGGGGTGTTTTAGATTAAGAAGTGAGATGGGGAAAACAGCCAGCGACAAAGCGAAAACGTTGGACCGGTACGCCGACAAGCTACAGAGTGACAAAGCGCCAGATTTTCCCGCGATGTGACGTCATTTGGCGCGATTACCTACCGGAATCATTGCTAGTTAATTAAAATTTACATGTCAACAACATAAGAAATTATGTTAATACATTATATTATTAGAAGACTTGACATCTGACAAAAATCGACAACATCGTAAATTCTACACAAGGTCTTCTCGCCCGAACGTGAAAACTCTCCTTTACGGCCATATTGCATGATTAGGTAAACCTCGTGGGTTTATATATCTCCCTTTCTTCTCATAGATACTTTATTTCGCTTATTGTTTAACGTTTAAAAACAGTTTTATCGACTCCATTCCTTATTAACATCTACGAACTGATCACATAAGTAGGTTGATGTAGTTATAGATCGTTTAAACGTTTCACAACGCTAAGCGTCGCTATCATAATTCACCAAAATCCAAATCAAATGGCATTGGCATTGCCAATTTGCCATTGGCTGCTTGGCATAATCGTAGGTACCGGGGTGCTACAGTGGGAACTTCCTTGATAAGCGCACAGAATCGCTCCTGTTAGTGTTCAGGGTTATAATATAAAATCTTACAACTAACATGACATTGTTGTTAAACGGATGTTTTTATTTGTGGCACAAATTGTGCACTGCAAAGCAGCTTGTATGTTGTAATTGTATCTTGTATCTTGGCTCCCTCTTGTATTTCACAAGGCACTCGATTACATCGAAGTGCGGGGATAATTCTAAGTATAATTCGATAATCATCGTTTGTGCAGCTGAAATTTTAGGCGATTTCTTGATGATTCTTTACTATTGTAGTATTGATTCTATTGTGTATAATAAATAATAGTTAGTAACTAAGGCTCATAGTCATAGGGTCTATGTCGCCCAGGGGGCGCAAATCCACTTTAGGCACCTTAGGTATCACGAAGTGATGCAAAGATTTTTGTGTATCATCAACTGATGCACAGACTTTCCGTATATCAAGGAATGATGCAAAAACCTAACCCTAACCCTAAGTCATGTCATAAAGTATAACCTTAGGTATCACGAAGTGTGTAAGTCTGTGCATCAGTTGATGATACACAGAAATCTGTGCATCACTTCGTGATACCTAAGGTGCCTAAAGTGGATTTGCACCCCCCAGGGTACTGTCGGAACGTACCCTGGTAACTATTTGATATGGTTAGGGTTAGGAAATAGGCATAGGCGACTCCCTAGACTCGTTAGTGGAGTAGGCGAGGTACGGTCCGGCAGTACCCTGGGGGACATAGACCCTCTCAGCGTAACTAAGTTAGTACGCCATTGTCAGATGCTGAGCTAGTCTCACCCAATCCCTATCAAACTTGCACATCGACTGTACAAGTTTTTGGCATCTGTTTCTGTTATTATTCTTGGCTCAGTGACTTGTAAATTAAGTACCACAGATTTGTTCACCATGACTCATGAAGAAATTACAGAATGCCAATGACATTGAAATGTAAAATGACAATGTTTTTTGTGCCACTGGTCCGTGGGTTTGGGAGAAAGCAGCCCTCCAGCTTCATGATTGGTGCAGGGTAATGCTATCCCCCGGGCGTGGAGGGAGGTGACCGCAACGTGGCAGCACTAGGGTTAGGGTTAGGATTGGGGTTAGGGTTAAGGTTTTTGCATCATGATATCTGTCCCCACACCATAGATTAATTTTTGTGGATCACAATGCCTATATATAGCGCGGCGCGACATATATATTTAGTGTGAGGGTTAGTGTTGGCGGTGGTGGAGTGAGGGTTACCGTTAGGGTTAACGTTTTGACCGTCATCGTCAACGTTATCACGTGACCTCCCTCCACGCCCGGGTGATAGCAACACCCATTGGTGCATGAGTTACACTAAATCAACACCTAATGATAAAAATTCCCATTTTTTATTTGCAGGTGTATTTAAGTATTTTAGAAATGAATCAAGAACGGTTGAGTAAACTTACGTCGCAGGTGCGAATAGGAGGAAAGGTAAGCTCTCTCTGCCGTTTTCATATAGATTCATTTTACTATTTTAATTGTGTTGAATTCTAGATTCTATCTCGTAACAGTGACTACTGGAGTCACACAGTGATGGATAGCATTTTATCTTATTTCAATTTGCTGATAAGCAAATTGCACTCGCCATCAAGTTCGTCATACCAGCCGTGAATATTTATAAATGTAATAACTTGTTAACCAGTCACGCTAGACAAGTTTCGTGATAAAATCATATCTGGATCTATTTATTGGTAATTAAAATGCAGACACTTTTGGCCTCTAATAAATTCACGTTCAATCAAATATGAAATGACCCTGTAGCATAGCTTATGTTTTTTTCCCCTTTAGGGTTCAGCACGCAGAAAGAAGAAGGTGGTACACAGAACGGCGACGACCGATGACAAGAAGTTGCAGAGTTCATTGAAGAAATTGGCAGTAAACAATATACCTGGTATAGAAGAGGTGAGGATTATGCTTCATTGATATGTAGGATCTTGAACAGAATAGTGATGCTTCATTTTTAACAAAGAATACATGTGAAAATCTATTTAACTGCCTGTCTTAAATGCATCAGTGATTATTGAATTTTTTGTGCGACCCAAATTCTGAGCATGTGGTTAAGTTATTCACCCATAGCTATCACTGCCAGACCATACACAATGAAGTTATACAATCTCAGGATTGTTTCACCACTAAGGTTGACTTCGTAGCCTTGTGGCTTAGAGTCACTTTTCTACATGTTTGTTGTTTACTGGTTCATCTATTGAAATCTACAATTAACACGACTTAACTACGGTTAAAAAAGGTAGGTGAGTGTAGTGCCGCAGGGGTAAATGTTTTTTCGCTGCTGTTCTTAGGTAAACATGATCAAAGACGATGGCACCGTTATCCACTTTAACAACCCGAAGGTTCAGGCATCACTCGCTGCCAACACCTTTGCAATCACTGGTCACGCGGAAAGCAAACGTAAGTCTACGGCGATACTGCTGAACTGATACTGTAGTTTAACCTGCCATAATCTGCTAACGTAATGTTCACCTTCAGTGTTGTGCTGGTGCTAACTTTTAATTTAAGGCCATTGTACTGGACAGGTAGCGATTGGTTCCCTTGATTTACTAGCTGCGTATTGCCTTGACTGTGTGTACTGCGGCTAGATGGATGCACGTTTTCGATTTCAGAGATCACAGAGATGCTTCCAGGCATACTGAACCAGCTTGGGGCAGAGAGCCTCACCAGTCTAAAGCGACTAAGTGCAAATGTACAGTCCAGTGCAGGTACGTAGGACATTTACCTACGGTGGTGTCTCTATCAAAGAAATGAGGTCCCAAACATGGCGACAGTAACTCCGACACTGGGAGCGGTTAGCAGGCTTTATCATTGTTGTTATGCAATGAATGCTGAACATTGTCTGAACCTAAAATGATTCTTCTTTAAAAAATATGTCGATATAAATGTGTAATAAATTCCTGTGATATTGGTAATGAGGTGTATTTGGGTGTGTTTCCGTTGTAACGTGTTAAACATGGTAGCGTTCTGGTTGAGCTGGGTGCCGCCTGTATTCAGTAAGCGTGTTGTTTCAGGTGCGGGCGCGCAGGCCCCGGTGGCAACAGATGGTATCGATGATGACGACGATGATGTACCCGGTAGGTCACGCTCTAAACGAGTTGCGTGATACGAATAACCGGCCTGTGTTCATGTTAACGTAGTTTAAAACTGTGATAGTGCTGGTTATGGTTGTATTTTTGGTAATGATGTAATTTAAATGTATCTAACGTTTACGTTCACTTGTACGTTATGCATAACTAAATTATCTGTGCAGTCATGTTGTTTTTATTTTCTCTGTGTTTTATGACTGGAGGTTATTATGAGTTGTGGGAAACTTTGTTATGATTTTTCATTTTATTTTTGCAGATTTGGTTGAGAACTTTGATGAACCATCAAAAACTGAAGGCGTTTAGTTAGAAAGTGACATTAACACATGGCTTGTGAGTGTCCCAGAGTGGACCAGAAGCGTGAGGATCATTTTTTGTATAAAACCATCGTTCTGCTTGTAGTTAAAAGCGCTTTCAAAACTATCTACCTTCTCAGAAATATTTTGATGCATGCAGAGTTTGCGAGCGAGAAGACAAACAAGTTTTCCTACCCCTGTGAATTTGTTAACCAGGTTTCTGCTTAAGTTGAGCACGCGTGACGAAAGACGTAATATAATGCAACTAGAATTGTTATGACAATGTTATTATTGGTGCTGAGCTACTTGCAACTATGTTCACAAGTTCACAGGGGTGTTGAAACAAACCCAAAAACATGCGACAGAAGTGCGAGCGCACGTTGCTGCATTCTTATCGACAGTAGTAACGCTGGGTAGAAATGTTTAGAACATGGTTGTCAAGAGTACTCACTGAGGGTGCCTTTGTGCTAGCGTGAAAATGAGCTGAGCCAAATAAGTTTATTGCTCTCCAGTGGGCAGCATTTAATGAAATATTTTGAAAGTAACAAAACAGAGTAAGCTTGGGTTTACACGTGTGTGTGTAATAAAATACGTACGTTTCAAATTTCATTTTCCTGTCTATTTTATTATTGTTTGAGAAATTGTTGATTCTCGTAAGCAGACGGATAGTTTTTTTTCAAATAATCGAATTCAAAGTATTTGCTTTGTAATTTAATACTGTTTTGCATACTGTTATACCATATAATCTTGATTCTTAATTAGCTATAATCCAGTCAGTAGATTTTTCTGGTTTTTCCACGTGTAAAGATGAAACGGCTGTGTAGTTTATGCATAAATTTGTCGCATTCTTGTAGAAGTGAGATCATTTGGAACAATGTTCACGTTGGGCATTTTTTGAATGGTGTATCACTTTGCTAATACACGTGTAACTGCATCGCACTAAATGATAATTCCATTGAAATTTATGCAGCAATTATGCAAATGACAATGATTGTGCAGTCAATGCGTTATTTGCTGTTTTGTTTAGTATGCAAGTATCAGTACACTGTTTTACTGCTATGACATTCAAAGCAACAAGTTATTTTTAGCTTGTGCTTTATTTTCCCTTAATTACAGCTTGTGACACGCAGAAATAATTTGAGCAGACCTTAAAATATATAATAATAATAAAATGTTCTGTTGCACAACTATAAATGTTTTTTTTCTCCATCCATATACTACTGTACTAGTTTTTCAACACCTTTAACCCAGATGCTGTAACAGAGGAAAGCAGCATGACTATATAACATAAGTGTTTTGACATACACACTTATTTGGACAAAGCTTGCATGCACGTTTTTATTCATATAATAAACGTTTATTTTGCATTCACCCTACAACAGTCGATCTTCTGTCCTCTCCTGTCTTAACCATTTTCTTCATTGTGGCTTTTCATAATTATCCTACCTCGTCGCTTCTTCTACTTCCATCCCCGTCATCCTACATCTCTTCGCACTCCTAGACATTCCCGGCCTTCTTCCTTTGCTACTTTCAAATTCCTATAAATAATTCATCTCAGCCTTCCGCACTCCATTTCTCTCACCCACTCTCCCTCCCCCCCCCCCTCTCTCTCTCTCTTTGCCTCCTTCCCACCTCCCTCACCGCCTTCTCCTATCTTCTATTTGCTCTTTATCCACCATCACACTAGGATTATCATACGCTTAATAATACCACGAACATTACTTTATTCAACTAATGCAATGTTCTATGGAAACGTATATAGAAAAATTATATCAGTGACAATAATCGTCTTTTGGAGAAGGTACAGAGAAGGGCAACTAAATTAGTATGTGACATAAAACACTTGTCGTACAAGGGGAGGCTTATAAAGCTCGGTCTATCATCACTAGAGTACCGAAGAGATCGGAACGACATGATACAAGTCTTTAAAATTTTAAGTGGCCTAGAAGACATGGATGAGAGCGTATTCTTTGTTAGAAGTGGGAATAACACACGTGGTCATGAACTAAAAGACCTAAAACTGTTTAAGAAAAGATGTAATTCAACAATCAGACAAAACAGTTTTTCATTTAGGGTCGTAGACCAGCGGAACAATCTTCCAAATGTAGTGGTCATATCAGAGAGTCTAAACATGCTCAACAGCAACCAGTGGCATCAGTATAAGTTCGACACCTCCTGTTAGTCCTGTTAGTGTAGTCCTATTTTTCTTCTTATATGAGCACCACCAAAAACATATGTACAAGTTAACAGCATTTCTTATACATCTTGAGTGGTCAAAAGACCACCTGAGACCAGTGGCGTAGCCAGCAATTGGAAACAGGGGGGCCAAGGCGAGGGAGCGAGGCGACCGAGGGGGTAGGGTGTGGGAGGGGTATCCCGGCCCCCTCCCACGGTAGGGAGATTTTTGAAAATTCGTGCATGAAAATGGCATTTTCTGCACACTTAAGTTCAGTATTAGGGGTAACTTATATGAGAAGTGGCATGTGCTAATCCCTTATAACCCCCCTCCCTCGCTTTTTATTTTTCCACTCCGATCCGATCAACGTGGGACGATGGCCCCTGGCTGTGGCGCCGGAAGGCTCTGAGGTTACACACGACCAGTTGGTGGACCCTTAGCTAGACCAGTGAAAATGGTGTACGAAGCCAGTGTTTTTCAGGGAGGGAAGAAAAGAGTTAAGCGACCAAAGACAGCGATGAAGCAATTTCTCAACGGGGGAGGGTGTTTCCCCTCCCACAGTAGGGTAATTTTTGAAAATATGTGCATCAAAATGGCATTTTTGCGCATTTCATTTTCATTATTAGGTATAGGTAATAGTGGTATAGACCAATCCCATTAAGGGCCCTTCTCTCTTAATTTTTGTACTCTCCGATCAAGAGGGGGTCATGGCCTCCTTGTGCCCCCCCCCCCTTAGCTACGCCTATGTCCTCATTCAAGCACTGACGGAATATTGGAATTAGTTTGATTTGTGTTGTTAGCGTTGTTAGCAGT